GTATGGATTTATCTCTAAAATGTGAACTAATTTTTCAACAATTGCTTGAGAAAGCTTATCTGATATTTTTAAGCAATTTTGTATCTCATTTTCAATATCATAAAAATGAAGTTGTAGATAAAAAGGGCTAGAATCCATGGGAAGAAGTTCATTTAGGTAATGATAAGGTATATCATTGATTTTTAGTTTAATATTCCCATCACAACAACAAAAAGCTTTACTTTCTTTATGAAATTTTTTCGCTCCACAAAAATCACAAATTGTTGTCATAGGTAACAAGTAACATTTGGTTGGAATGTACAGTAAAATATTGGAGGTATATTCTAAAACTTGAAATTCTAGCAAAGCAGTAAAACCGAGTCAAAGAAATAAACAATCTATAAACTCCGGTAGAATACAATAATGCACGATGCACACAGGAGAAAAAAAAAGCCTTAAATTATTTGATGCACGAAGTAATATAATTAACCAATACAAAGATTAAATGTACACTAAAAAAATGATCAATACATTAAAGAAAAAAAAACTCACAGGCCGCTGCATCTGTATAACTACCCTCTCCTACTGTTGTTGCTTTTGTTCTGGAATCCAGATAATGTGTAGCTCGAGGTACACTTTTCTGAACACACAATTGTTGTCGACATATGTTACACAATTCTCGTGCATGGGCATATAATTCTCTACGTCGTGCATTCGAAGATTCTTTTGATTGAGCATAAATCGCTCAGCGACACCTTTTTTCTAGCTCACAACTCCCAACATCAGCAGCATCCATAATACAAATAACTAAGTACAGTAAAAATAAAATAAAATAAAATGTGAGAAGACCGCATAACAAAACCAAATTTGTTAACGAAGAATACACCTTACTTCTTTAACACGGTAAAATATATGCCATTGGTTTGAATATATGTCTGAGTTATTGCAATGCCAGCAGAAAGGCAGAAAGCCTTCCAATCAATATAACCTAGAGAAAGTCCTATAGGAAAAATCTCACTCCTTTCCAATCTAATCTCACCATTGGGTTCTTTTATATCCGATAATTGAATTTTTTATTATAAAATTACCGCTATAACAATTAGATGAAGAAAGATTTGAAGATGATGCATACTTGCAAGCATTCATAAATTGACCAAGTGTTATGTAGCAAATTTTGTTGCGATTGCTTATTTCCTGATAATGCAAATAGCCAAGTGTTTATTCTACAAAAATAGTCGAACAAGTATCTTCATCTTGAAATTTAAGTTAACTTGGATCTCTATAAGAATCGTCAACTACAATATAACTCTTGTTCTAAGTGTGCAAATTACGAAGTTACAAAGTTAAGTCAACAGAGGTAAGCTGGATTGCAAGGAAAGGAGTCCAATTCCTTATAAACCCCCAGTCTAAGCTTAATTACAGCACTTTATACGTCTAAATCTACATAAAATCAGATATTAACATAAGAACCAAAATCTAATCCGCTCAACAATAAGGGATTTATTATGGCTGAACCATTGTTTTGAAATTTTTAGTATTAATTAATTATTTTGAAGTTATTTGTTTGAATGCGTGGATGTTTATTATGATTTAGTATGATTTTCAATTAATTGACCATTAGTTGAATTGTTTGTGATTTTATTGTCATCGAGAGAGATAATAGAATTGTTAGCACGTAGTAATAAGCATTGTGAGGTTTGATAGAGATAGAGATATACTTCTATGTTTTGCATGGTTTTTTTTAGACATTCTGCCTCTATGCTTTGCATGGTTTTTTTAGAATGATCAAATATGATTGGAATCCAAAGGGTTAAAAATTTCTAGCATGATTGAAACATGAAAGGTGTCATAAAATAGGATTCCATTAAGAAGCCACAATAGGACTCATCGCAGGGTTAGGAAACTCAGATATGGGACTGGTCCCAAGAGGAAATGTAGATCCGGGGCTTCTCTTGTTGGCATCATGGGAAGCCCAGGGCGAGATGGGAACAAATATGTGCGAGCACTCGAAGTTGGGGAATCCACGACTCCATTGGTCAAACTATGAGATAAAATGACATCAGCATATGTGTTTTACATAATTTTCACAACTTGTATTTTGAACTTAAGCATTAAAACTCATTTTTAGTTCCAACATGATCTAAAATCACATAATTTAAATTTTTGAGATTATTATATCATGCCTTCAACCCCCCTCGCCCCCGAATAAGCTACTCACAAGTTTAGATAAGCATGTGTCATGGTTCTCATTGCAAGTTATGGGACTTGGATCCCACATCAAAAGTATAAGTTTTCGATTTGTGGTTTATATAAATTTGGAGTCTTTAACTTCAATAACTAGCTTTTGAGATATAACTCTTTCAAAATCTATAACAATGGTATCAGAGTAGACACCACATCTTCGGGTTACAATTGAGCGATGTGGGTGATGACTCTTGTGTTAGCCTAAAAATAACTGACCAAGATGGGGGTGAATTGGTTTTTAAATCTTTTTCGAATAATCACGTAAGTTAAAAAAAATAAGTTGATAAATTAATAATCGTAAGCTAATTCAAGCAAGTAGATCAATCAAATAATAAGTGCTAATATGAAAGCAATAAGTAAAAGGGA